CACTGTCTCTCCATCTCACTGCCTGTCCCCCTCTCACTGTCTCTCTATCTCACTGCCTGTCCCCCTCTCTCACTGTCTCTCCATCTCACTGCCTGACCCCCTCTCTCACTGTCTCTCCATCTCACTGCCTGTCCCCCTCTCTCACTGTCGGTCCCCGTGTCTCAGTGTTGGTCCCCGCTTCTCAGTGTCTCTGGCCCCTTCTTTCACTGCCTGTCTCACTCACTCAGTGTATGTCCCCGTCTCTCAGTGTCTGTCACCCTCTCTGTCTCACCCCTCTCTCCATTTCAGTCCCCGTCTCTCAGTGTCTGTCACCCTCTCTGTCTCACCCCTCTCTCCATTTCAGTCCCCGTCTCTCAGTGTCTGTCACCCTCTCTGTCTCACCCCTCTCTCCATTTCAGTCCCCGTCTCTCAGTGTCTGTCACCCTCTCTCACTACTTGTCCGCTTCTCTTTGTCTGTCCCCCTGTATCACTGCCTGTCATCTCCCACTGTCAGTCCCAATCTCTTAGCATCTGTCTCCCCCACTCTCTGTCCCTCTCTCTGCTTATCCCCTCTGTCTCTCACTGTCTGCCCTCCTCTGTCTCCCTCTCTTTCTGTCTGTTCCTCTTTTCCATTACCTGCCCCCCTCTCCCACTGTCAGTCCCTGCCTCTCAGTGACTGTCCCACCTCACTCTCTGTCCCCCTCTCTCACTGCTGGTCCCTGTCCCTTAGTATCGGTCCCCCTCTTCTCGTCTGTCTCCTCTCTCACTGCCTGTTTTCCTCTCTGTATCTATCCCCCTCTCTGTCTCTGTCCCCTCTCTGTCTCTGTCCTCTCTCTCAGTCGCTGTTCCCCTCTCTCACTGCCTATCCCCCTCTTCTCGTCTGTCTCCTCTCTCACTGCCTGTTTTCCTCTCTGTATCTATCCCCCTCTCTGTCTCTGTCCCCTCTCTGTCTCTGTCCTCTCTCTCAGTCTCTGTTCCCCTCTCTTACTGTCTGTCCCTCTCACACTCACTGCCACCTTTTTGTTTGTCTGTCTATCCCTCTCTCTCCCTTGCTCTGTCACTATCTCCTCTTCCCCTCGTCTTCTCATTTCTCTCCTTCCTTCTCTCTCTCTCTCTCTCTCTCTCTCT